CTTCTCCGTCTACAGCAGCTCGCGGGCGCCCGGGCGCTACGCCCCCAGCTACACCCCCAGGTCAGCCCTGTCACCCAGGCCACCTCTCGGCCACCCTCAGGGCCACCCTGTCAGCCCCGTGCTCCCTCTGTCACCCCTGCGGTAACCGCTGCATCTTCCCTGTGACCCTCTTCGTGTCCCCGATATTCCCTGTTGATCCCCGTATGTCCCGGCCGTCCCCATGTTCCCCCTGGCTGCCCCAGTATCCCCTGATGGTCCCCATGTGCCTTGTGTCCCACAATTGTCTCGTCTGTCCGTGTCCTTGACCATCCCCACGTTCCCTGGCTGTCCCCACCTCCACCGCCCATCCTCGTGTTCCCTTTGTGTCCCCACACTGCCCCAGTATCTCCTGACTGTCCCCGCATCCTCTGACCATCTCGGTGTCTCCGTCCCTATGTCTCCTGGCAGTCCCTGTGTCCCTGCCCCCACACCCCCTGGCTTTCTCAAATACTCGACTGTCCCCGTGTCCCTGACTGTGCTGGTGTCACCATCCCCAGCGCCCCCATGGACACCCACCTGCTCAGCAACATCCAGAAGCTCTTCTCCGAACGCATTGACATCTTCAGCCCGGTCGAGTTCAACAAGGTGAGGCCACAGGGACATCCCCATGTCCCCAGGGTCCCTGGACTTCCCACCTTTCTGGCTGTCACATGTCCCTGGTGTCCCCATGACCCAGGTGCTGGGGTCCAGGGTGTCCCCAGGAGCTGATGACCAGGGCGAGGGTATCCCCGTGTCCCTACATTGACTTGACTCAGGGCCTCCCTGTGCTCCCCACAGCCAAGCCGAGGGTGTCCCCAACCCCCTGTGCCACATGTCCCCTATGTCCCACTATCCCATGTTGTCCAGGCTTGGGAGAGTCAGCCAGGACACGGGTGTCCCTTGTGTCACCCATGTGCCCTTGCTGATGGGACGTGGGGCCTCCCTGCGCTTGAAGAATCCAGGCGAAAGGAGCCCCCTCCCCCGTGCCACATGTCCCCAGTGTCCCCGCATCCCGTGGTTCGGGCCTTGGGGGGTGTCCCTGGGGGCTGGTGACCAGGATGAGTGTCCTGGGAGCTGCTGGCCTGGAGTGGGGTGTCCCCCCATCCCCGTGCAGATGTGGCTCGGGGCCTTCCTGCCCTGGGGGCGTCCCTGTGCCACGTGTCCCTGCTGTCCCCACGTCCCAGGTGTCGGTGCTGACCGGGATCATCAAGATCAGCCTGAAGACGCTGCTGGAGTGCGTGCGGCTGCGGACGCTGGGGCGCTTCGGGCTGCAGCAGGTGCAGGTGGACGGCCACTACCTGCA